GGTGCTAAAGTCAGGCTGCTACAAATGCCATCTGTCCTTGACAGAGAACACAGGCACTTCTAGGAAGGAGCCCAGGCTGTTTTGTTCCCTGACATGGGCCATATAATGTAAATATAAGAATAGGTAGACTGTGTGTGGCTGGAGCAAACAAAGACCACCAAGGACTGGCCAAGCTGCAGAGAAGTCAGCCCTGACTGGAAAATCACTCAGGCCTGCTGGAGAACGCAAGGTGTGCTCAAGGTTTTCCTCCAGGTAATAGAGCCGGGTCACATCAGTGTTGTCCCAGCGAGCCTTTGGCATTTGAGTTTGGTCCTGAGAGTGCCCCTGCGCTGTAGTGTAGAGACAGCCATGGACCCTTGATGGCTCACGGTCCCTGACGGACCGGACACTTGCTGTTACTACATACAGCATGGGTGAAGTTTCACATCCCCTCCAGACACAACTCCTCTTCCAGGGTGGAGCACATTGGGTTGTGGAGCCAGCTCTCCTGGCAACAGCTGAGGCTGCTCCTGGCCATGGCAATTCCCAGCTGGGCAGCAGTGCATTCACTCATGCCATCAGGGGAGCACAAAGAGGCTGAAACCAGAAGTAATCTGGTCTTCCCTTGTTTGCAAGGTCCTTATATGACTCGATTTTGCTTCTACTATTGTCTCTCTGCAAAGAGTGGCTCTGTCACACAAAACCACTGTTCCTCTTTCCTTTCAGGACAGAAGTCCATTCGTGCCCCTACTCACAGGTACGTCCTCATCTTCTAGCACAGATATGTTAGCTGTGCTTTGCAAGGAGAAAAGACAAACCAAGACTGCCTAGCCCAAGCCACCTCTGTGCAAATCTGTGTGTACCACTCTGCTTTCCATCTGTGGATGTATGCAGCACAGATGTTGAACAGCTATGCAATGCCACATACGTCTTGCCACATGCACTTGATTTCCATGCAGACACTGAAAGCTACGATTTGTGAAAGGAGAGGAAATTCATTGTGTGACTTGTAGGTATTTGAGAGAGAAAGCTTAATCAGCTGTTGAGACTATTTTTGTCTCATCAGTAGTTCAGCTCAACAGCTGAACCAAGGCCTGTACTACAGTTCATGAAAGAGAAGGCAGGCAACTGAATACTTGTCTATTAAAAATTTGCTGCCGGGACATGGAAGTACTGATTGCGTACGCAGGTCGCTTGTCTACAGCCTCCATGGGCCTTCATAAAAGCCAACGTGGTTCATCCCAAGTTGTCCATGCAGGTCGCTTGTCTACAGCCTCCATGGGCCTTCTTAAAAGCCAACGTGGTTCATCCCAAGTGGTCCATGCATATGTGCTGACAAGGATGGATATTTGCACATCTCATTTCTGCAGAGTCCAAAGAAGCTCCTGCATGCCCAGGTAATATCATCAAAAGGAAAAATTACTCAGTTGTAATGATGTGAGCCGATTCAAAATGAGGAAATTTCTCTGCATAATGAGAACCTGATTACTCAGTTGTAATGATGTGAGCCGATTAAAAATGAGGAAAAGTCTCTGCATAATGAGAACCTTATTGAGCATGAAATGCTCACACAAGCTCTCTGATGCAATTTTACGTGAGTTAAGGTCATTTTCTTTTTAGGTTGGCATTAATAGTGCAGAATAGTGCAGATCAAACCCAGAAAATACTCCAAACTTGCAACTGTGTTGCAAGTAGTGGGACAACTAAGAAGAGATCAAGGATTTGCTTTATAAAAGGTGAGTAATTTTATTCCTCCCTTGTCCCTTTTTCTGTTGTTTCCAAGTAGCACCGTAAACTTTAACCAGAGACAAGGGACATCTTGGGCAATATACCCTTAAATGAAGTCCTGCTTTGAGATGACAGTGCCAGTCTTTACTCAGCTTCAGTTTTTAAAAACTTACAAAGAAGACATCCTGAAGCATGTAAATATCCAAAGTAGCAAAGTGGAGTTAGCATGGTTTTGAAAAACAGTTTTGCTTGAAATTAGTGAAAGTGAGGTACCCTCTTTGGAGCACTTCATTATTTTCCTAGGTACCTAGCTGAAAACTTGGAAAAATTGGCAGTACACTCCCAAGTCACTTTCAAAAATGAATTTTAGGCACTTTTGAAAACTTTGTATGCCTTCTGAAGCCTTATGTATGCCTAAAGAAGCTTTAGAAAGCAAATGAGGCCAAGTGTGTTTAAAACCAAGAGATACAACTGTTAAAGGCCTGTATTGCTTTTACTAGTCATATAAAAATAGGCCTTGCTTGATTCTTGGCTTAACTGTGATGTGAGCAAACAACTTGTAAGAGCTCTTTCCTTTTAGGGTTATTGTTCAAGAAGATGAATCCGGAGGTAAGGGGAGGCAAGAGCAAAGCATGATCAAGTGACTTACTGCAGCACATCTAGCACATCTCTGAAGTACCTACCATTCCGGTATTTTTCAGATATTATCTGCCTCAGAGAAGCGTGACAAATCTCAATTAACTCTTCAAAGGTTTGCCAGCAAAAGGATCTATGCTATATATCTGCATAGCTTATGTGCATTTATACAAACATAGCTTGTCCGCTTATTTGTAACATTATTTTTTTAGTGGCAGTGCCCTCATGGAAGCTTTATTGGTGCTTTCTGTAATAGCTCTCTTTCAAAGCAGAAAATTGTTAAGCAGCTCCTCAAGAATTATCCTGCATGTCAATTAACTCACTTTTTGAGATGAATCATTAGGTATCTAAGTGTCTCGTAGTGAGCAGCAGGGAGTAACATCAACACTTCATGTATTGCTTCTAGTCGTTCATCAGGATTTGAGATTTCTGTAAAAACACCAAACAGGATTAATGTTAATAGGGCTTTCCATTTGTAAACAGCAATAATTCAGGAAGCTAACTTATTATTATGGAGTCATTTACAAGCCATTGACTGTGCTTGGAGGGATAAATATTAAACTCACAAACATGGAACTTATCAGCAACTTCTACATCCTCAAAAAAAAAAATGGCTTTACAAAAAAATCAGCAACAAAGACCACCCAATAGTTGTCTCTGTGGTCTGTAGCTCTATCTACAGGCCTGTATAGGTACAGTACCCGAGCTTTAAGTGCTTCATAACACTCTTCCCAGGACTGACTCTTCAAAATCTTACAAAAGATTACTTCCATTACACTTCAAAACCAGATGAGAATGTGGATATATGCTTTTAGAGACTACGCTTCAATATGTAAGTTTAGCTAGAGAGTGAAATGACATGAAATTACATAAAGATTCCTGAACATATTTAAATATGGAAGTACCAGTGATCAGAGAGCATCAGTGCTCATTTAAGACTGTTTGGCAATCTCTCTAAAAATCTGAGCAGGATTTATGTGTATTTTACATGAAAAGTATAGATTCCTAAGGTGTGAACTGAGTCAAAGTTATATTTGCTGTATGCCTTTTCATACAAATGGCACCAGGAGCCCAAAATTTTAGAAGATTAATAATGTCTATGTCCTGCTTTTAAGAGACTGGTGTATCGATATGATAGGAACTGCTTCCTCTGGGCCTGTTCTTTATAGGACAAGTGATGAGCAAGAATAATTTCTCTGCCAAGGAGGAAGAGGAGAGTACAGGAGAGAGGTATCTGTGCTTGCATGGGGAGTGCAAGGTGGGGTAAGCCAGAGGGGATGGGAAGGCAGGACGGTCACACAGACCACTCTTCCTGCTGCGTATCCATATGCTGGGTGCCATTTCAAAATTACTAAGGATCCTGTTTAAAGAAGAAAGCATGCTACTTCTTAGATACCCCAAGTCTTTGATACTTTTGCTAATAAAATGATTTTGATGCAACCCATCTGGCGAGTTTTCATTAGGGACTAGCATTATGTGGAAGGCTGTGCCCTGGAGAGCAGAATTTGAGGCAAAGCTCATCTTGCTCTGTCAACATCATGACAATGAATGCTGCTGCCCTCCTCCCTCCCTGACAGCGCACACCGGACCCACTGGCTCTGGGTGGGGGATAAATGCATGTGCCTCCCATCTGGACACGGGTTAGATACAGTAGGACTTAGTGAACAGTGGATGCACCTGAACTGTGGGGCGGATGTGCTTTGTGGGGTACCTCGTTGCTCTGATCCCTCACTGACTGAAGGAGAGGACGTGCCTGTCTGCAGCGCAGACTTGTTGCCAAAGGAGGCCAGGATATGGGAGATGGGGAAACTGGTGGGGAAATGGGACGCATCCTCAAGGCTCACGCTGTTCACTCAACCCTGAGCCCTCACCGATCTCCCAGTCCTGTGTGCGTCTGGCAGCCAGCGCTGCGGCCGTGATGCCAGCCCTGCGATCCTCCCAGTGCCAGATGCAGTCCTTGCAATGGCCCTGGACATTCTGCCTCTTGGCACAGAATTTGGGTCGTTTACAAGAAAAGAGCAAGCGATTCCATTCAAAACCCCATCCCAGGGCATGTCGTAGCTTCACTGACTGACGCTGAAACCACACTTTCTGAAACTGGTCAGTTATTTTGATAGCCTACATTTACTGTTATTTTTTTAACCTGCACGATGTCCCATCTGATTAAAAATCAGGCAAAAGTTTCATGTGAACAAATGACATGGCAGAGAAGTAATGAACAGAACAAAACCCTTGCTTCCAATTTGTTGTCTATCATCTTTTCTTTTTCTTTAATGTGGACAGCTTTATGGATGGGAAATGTAATTAAAAATCAGTACAAATTACTATGCAATACTTACTTGCTGCCTCTATGAACTTGGAATAGGTGTCGTAGGTGATCACGGGAATTGGTAAGTCTCTGAAGTATAGCTTTAGTGCTCCGGCAATGATGTTTATGTCTGGGTAGATACTGGCAGAAATATCAGCCTTGTCACCATCTAGAAGAGGAGGAAGAAATCTTTTTGAAACCACGCTAATTTTGACGGAAGCAAGGCTAGGCTTCTAATTCAGATTTATTGTGTCCAACCTGACAAGAAATAACAACCTGAAAGCATTTGGAAGGCTTAAATGAGAATATATTACTTTCAACTTTACAGTAGATGAATGAGGAATGGTAGTTTCTTTATCTTTTAGTAAACAGTTTATTTGTTTACATCTTTTGGAGGGGCTGGCGATTACATCAACACTTCCTGCAGTATACCATCTCACGCATAATATTTTAATGTTGGATGAAAAATCATGTGCATAATATATTTATTGAATTTGGCCCATTTATCCACTGAAAATAAGCTATTAATAACTTGTTCTGATGTTGTATTTTGTACCCACAGAGCAATGCACAGGAGTATGAAGCATTCTTTTAATTTTCACTTGGGGAGACAGAGGCACAGCGAAATAACAAAAATTTCCAATGACCCTCAGGAGACCAGTAGGAAAAATCAGAGTAAACATCCAAATCTTGTAAGCCCTGCACCGATCTATCTATACTTATTAGCTAGTAAGAAAGCCGCTGTATTTTCTGGATGTCCTCTAATGTCTTAATGCTTGACTGACATTTATAGCAAAGATTTGAATTTAGATAGACATGCTATGGCATTTAGCTATACAATTTATTCTGAAAGGTGGATTGCAATTTGTTAAATGAATATGGATACTTGTAATGGATGAACAGCTAAATAGATGAATTATGCAACTGCAATGACATACATTTTGTTTGTCACACAGTCAGAACTCCATTACGGAGCACTTTTAATCACATGAGCTTAACATTTACCAGTGTTGCTGGTAAGCCCTTGGCCAACGCATGGCTTGCAATGAGTGAAATTACAAGAACTAGCAGCGAGGCTGGATCATTATTATTGTTCAAGTTCAAATGACTACATCTGTTCTGTATGACCTAATACCCTCATACTCACATTTTTCTCCAGACCGAGAAATTCTGCCATCCTACCCCTCTGGGGCCCATCCTTGGCGGTCTTCCAGTAGAAAGATGGGGTAGGACAGTGGTCAAGCAGGGGCGGAGGCTGGCTGGATTTAACCCCCAGCTTTACCTCAGGCTTCTTTGAGTTCAGTTATACCTCATAGTCCTTATTTCCCACCTTTCACCTGAGGCTAATAGTGCATCCCTCGCAGGAGGTGGTGAAGCTAGGGCCAGACGGTGAGTGGGGCAATATGAGGTTATGCTTGCTTGAGCAATGGAGAGGAGTTTGCTTGTATCTGCCAGGAGGTGCAAACACAAGCTTGGGCTGTCACAACTGAGGTGCTGACATGCTATAAAGCCCTTGCCTTGCTTGTCTCGCAATAACTGGTGCTTGTAGACATGCCCTGATACAGACAGATGAGTGGGTGTGCTTGATACACGGCATCTAAGATGGTGATAAAGGCTTTCACAGCAGAGTAAAAGAGTTTATATTGATTGTAGACATTTTATACAAACCTATGGCATTAATCTTGAAGGGATACGTCCCGTCCAATGTATGCACATAATTCTCATTAAGACTAATAGCCCTACATGTTCTCATCAAGAGGAGATTATATGCTTAAGTGTTTAAAACAAGCAGCCTTTCTTGATGCAGCTGAGCAGTCTGAATACATCCATCAACATTTAATTTAATACAGCATCAATAAGCCCTAGGAGGATGTTTACACTGCCCCAATCTTTTGTTTAATCCACACATTCCAGGCACGGTAGCATTAGTGTTGTAAAGCTTTGTGTGGAGAGCTCTATTTAATTGATGGACACCGAGGACTCCAAATGCTCCACTGAAAACAGATACCTCCAAGGAGCCAGCAGCTGCATCAGAACAGATATAGCAAAGCAGAAGGTTGCATCTATTATCCAGGTCACCAGTACACTAAATGGAAGTGTTATTTATTTAGTACTTTTACAAAGCAGCCCAGCAAGCTTCCTTAAAGGGACACTTCAGCTAGAAGTACTTCCAGCTACAATGTACTTCAAACATACCTTTTATTTACATATTCGCTTACTGGAGGAAAAATGCATTAATTCCCAAGTCAAAGATTTTTTTCTTCACTTCAGAGACAAATGTACATTCATTGGAAATGAACTGAAGATTATTTTAAGGTGAAAGTGTAACAATATATCTGTTATAATACACCTACACATTTCTGCAGTAGGTATATAGGGGGAAGTGGATTTTTATTCTCCTTTGGTAGATTTTTTGTTTGTCTTTTCTTTTTTTTTTTTTCTTTCAGTTTCAGCAGCTGAAGGCCCTTGGCAGGCTGCACTTATTTCTTATCCTCACCAAATTCCTGGATTTGTATTTTTATTTAAACACACTTAAAATTCAAAGCACTAAGAAAGAAAAGTTAATTCATTGCCTGTAAAGTCATGACACGTATTTCACAGAGGATCCTCTGCAGTAGCATACTGTATGAACTACATCTTTTTTATATGGTACCTTCTGCATTACCACTATAATTTTTTTCACTCTTCAATACAGTAACTTTCCTTAGATTGTAATTAGTATTTTCTGTGTCATTGCAGTGGCTGTGTGTTAATATAATATTTTTTTAAAATTTTGGGTTACAAACATATAGTTCATTTCAGCTTTACAAACCTAATCCTACCAAAACCCCATCATTTCTCTTGCCTTGTTACTTTGACTCTCAACATACTTTGTTGCATTATGTTGAAGTTTGAATATCTCAAGACAAAGAAAGTCTTTATTCTGTTTCTTAAAGGTTTCAGCTAATTTTGGATGCCATAGAAATATATCAATAGTTTACTAGAGAATGAAAAGGAATAAGTATTACATTCTTAAAGCTTCAGCTATGCCCTCTGAATACTGAATTACATTTCTACTTAAGCTCCTTTTCCCTTAGTGCTTTGTTTTTATTGCACAACCTTCGCCATGCTAACATGCACCTTTGTGTTTTTTCTTGGATTTGGAATTTGACAGGTTTTCAGCTACACTGGCAAAAGGGTGAGTACGAATTAGGATGCCTCTAAGTACTCATGTAATATTTAACAGCATAATATTTTTTGCAAGAGTATTGTACCAGCCAGTCATACAAACAAGGGGGGGGACAGCATGCACTGGTGACAATGGCAGCTCTGTGGATAAAGCGCACAATGAGGGGTTTCTGGATGCCACAACGCTACAGCTCAACAATGCTGACAGAGAGCAACTGTCATTCTACAGCACCAACATTCACCAGATTAAATAAATCAACATTATTCCCCTCCTTCTCATTACAAAAACCACTAAAATGGAACATTGTCAGCGCCTCAGAGAGCCTCATGCTAATTTACAGTAGGGGTATTTACACTGCTTTGACTTTAGAAGGGAGTCTTAGTTTAAATTAAGATTAGGACCAACTTCTCCCTGCTTTAAAACCATCACAGCTTCCTTGGGCCCAAATAATATTATGTGGGACACCATCGTCTTCCCGAGATGTTAACTTTCAAACCTGCCTTTGCCTATCTGTTCTTGCTATAATTCTTGGGAAGCAACAAGTGAGTGTCCCTTTGGCAAAGCAGAACTAGTCAGAGGGAGGGCTGGCTTCTCTTCATTGCACCCCTTCAGCTGCACATGAAACCAGCAGGTGAGGTACCCTACGGCCGAGTCGGCCCCTGCACCTCACCCCTGTATCATACTGTCTTCTGGCTCCCGTGGCTTGACAAGAGCTTGGGAAACCAGAAAGCTTGATGGCATTATTTGAAGGTTGCATCCTGCGCATTAAAATGGGAGGACTCCTTGCTTGTTTATTTTCAAATCTGTTTATTAAAGGCTGTATTTCTAGAGATGCAAAAGCACATTGGCATTCTAGCCAGGTGCCTGGGGACTGACTCAGAAATGATGGGCAGGGAGGGACCTCTGTCAGGCCAGAGTGCAGTGCTCTGCTACTGCAGGCACTGTGTCGTATAACCCCTCAACTTCCATTTTAAAACTAGTTAAGGTTTTTACCCCTGCTTTTATTAGAAGGTTGTTCCAGAGCCTTGCTTTCAAATGGTTAAAAAATGGTCTTTAAATTGCCAAACTATATTTATTCCTCGTCAGCGTACATCCTCTAGTATTGTGCCAAGACTAAAGAGTTCTCTTCTCTGGTTCATACCCCTGCTCTCAGCTTCTCCTTTGACAGCTATCTATCCCAAGCTCTTTTACAACACATTTACCTTCTGCTATGCAGCATGCTGCAGAGATGTTTGAGATAGTGACGTGGCCACAGATATGGCTGTTTCTGCCACAACACCCGTCTATTAACCAGAACTGATCAGGAATCTCCCATTTTGTATTTCAGACACAAATTCTCTTTTTTTTTTTTTTTCCACTGTTGCAAAAAATATTTTAATTTCCCGTAGCAAAGGTGAAAACGAACAGTTCTGTAAAACTCCCATAAATTTCACTTTCTGGGCAGAAAATGAAATTTGAATAAAAACCTTCCAGGCGTTGCTGGTGGTGAGACCTGCCACCTGGCTCTCGTCTCCCTTCTCTCCCAGCTCTGTCACGTGGGACAGAGATCTGGGATATTCCACATCCTTGGAATAGTCCACTCCCCATTGCTCTGGCTTCTAGGGCTAAGCAGGGGTAACTGGGCAGCAGAAAAGCAATCTTCCTACCTGTGGGGTTGGGATGCAAAAGAGAGGGTGGGGTGCCTGTCTCTGTAAACTTGGATCTGACAGGGAAGCAAGCTCTGAGCTGTCAGGTTGGAAGCATCTTGCCAATTCAACCTTCTGCCAGCTGACAACCACTTTCTAGCTGCACAGCCCACAAGTCAGAACAAAATATCTGTTTTGGTTTTCTTTAAATCCCTTCCTGCAAAAAAAACTCAACTCCTTTTGCTTTTCCTTCTCAGTTCAGGGAGAAAACATTTTCAAAACTGGAAAGTTTTGAAAGTTCTCAGCTTCTGGTCTTAGCAACACTCTAGTCATGAAATTCTCTTAATAAGGTCTTGTTCACTGTTCCCCTGCTTTTAGCATTATTCATGGCAACGCTCGCCTTTCTTAGCCCTTTTCCCTCACAAGGTTGGTAAAAGAAAATGAAGACACAGCTTTTTATCAATTTATGCCCAATGGTTTTCTCCACAGCCTTTTTATGCAAACTTGGTTCTTAATTTCTCTGCTTCCATGCTTTTTTTCCTTTGGAAATCCAACACTAGTGACCTTATTCTTCCTGTTTCTAGGTGCTGCCTTCTTTGCCAGTAAAGCACACTTTCTTCCTTGCTGTGGGTCTAATTCAAGTGTGCATTGCCACCAGATTATGCCATAAGTGTAGGCAGTAATAAAAGAGACACGGTCTGTAAAACTGAACTATCTCCAATGGTTCAAAGCATTTGCAAAGGAACTACAGCTGCAGCAGTATTCAAGTCATGCTCAGACATAAATTTCCATCTGCTTTCTTCAAACTCTCCCCTCTTCAACTTCTGCTTCTCCTTCTGGGTTTCATTCAGGTTGGTACACCGAGAGGAGAATCAAGACACAGAACAAAAGGGTTTGCCAGGCCTGATCTGCCTGCAGGGAGCAGAGTGGGACCTGTGGCGACTGTGACCCTCTCAGCAGCACTGCTTCATGTGGCATGTCTGCAACAAGTGTCTTCCTACGATAGCAGTCATATCACTGTGCATCTCTTTTGCCCAAATCATCGCTGACCTATGTGTGTATATGCATATGTTCACAACTGCAGCATCCAACACATTTTAAAATACCTATTATTTTCTAAAGGATATTTTGGTATAGCATGAAAACAGTCACTTTGGAAATTCCTAGTTGGACTTTCTGTGCCAGTGACATCTGCATGACAAACTGTCTCCAAACAAAAAAAGTATTCAGGCACAGTAAGTGTAAGATGTGCCACCCATAGACCTTGCTGGTCCTGCCCAGCCTCCCCTGGAGCCCCCACACCTCCTGCCCATGGGCCCCCAGGGCCCCCAGTCCCTGCCTGAGTGACATTGTAGCTGGCTCCAGCTACATCATGGCCATGCCTGTGCCTGGCCACGCACCCTTCCCGTAGGTACGCTGACCTGCAGGCTGACTTTCTGGCTTGACCTGGACCTGCTTCATCCCCACGGGCTTGAGATCACTGGGCTGTGTCTGACCCTATTCCCTAACATGGCAGAGGTAATACCTGAAAAAATTAAGTAGGAAGGAAAACACTATTTATGGGAAAAGAGAAGAATATTTATGTAACGTCTTAAATGTACTTGAAAATGTGTTTTCTGTTGATTGAGGCCCTACTCTGGACTTGCATATATACTTAAAATTAGTCCTGTGTGCAAAGACTGTGTGCACAACCAGAACCAACATAATCAGCTAAATAAATTCAGAAGGGCTACTAGGATGGTAATCAGGCAGTGTTTTAATTATTAGTTTTTCAGTATGCTGTACAACCAATCTCCGCAATGCTCCTCTCATCTGTTGTGCAGATGCAATCGCATGCACAGTGGTGTGGTGCTTTCTACAAGGCAACATGCAGAATGACTTCCCAGTTGGAGTTCCTGGTTCTTAAACTCCTAAAGAGATTATTGTATTGTAAAGCACTGAGTCTACTAAAGACAGGACTAAGAACTTTCCCCTGGTACTATCTAGGCTCATGCTTGAACTAGGAGCCTAGGCTGTGCTGCTAGGTTGAGCAATCATCCAGTCCCCCGAGCACTTAGCCTTCTGCCTAACATGACTTACTGTTTAATTATTCCTTCCAACTATGACATATGATTTCTTCTCATGAAAAGCACTACTTAAGAACTCAGAAAAGACAGGCTGCTTTCTGTACTTCTGCTTATATGCCATTTTCCTTACCATGGTATCTATGTAAAACCAAAAAGAACTGAAAAGTTCTAGAACTGAAAGCTTAGATTAAAATTGTACAAGATAAAAAAATGGTATACCTCTATCAAAGGCCATTTTCACATCTTCAATGTGCTCAGTGAAGCCTGAGACTCTATAGAGGCCCTCGGACTTTAAACCTGAAACAAAAGGTTCTTGGTTAACTTTGCTTCAGCAACCACCAAGTATTCAGGCTTGAAAACAATAAAGAAGAACAACAGATCTAGTAAGTGTAGCAAAATATTAATTGTAATGTGAAACTCCAGAGCATTTAAGGAAGGATCAAGATAATTTAAATTGTTTTTTAAAGGATTAAAGAATTTTAGAATTTATACTTTCTGATTTTGTTAGGTACACAGTTGATTATGAAAACATTAGGAAAACATGGCAATTTGCTAATGGTGGGGCATGTGATGTTATCATGATTTATTCATTTTATGTGGGAGATTTTCCTGGATTTGACTATAATTAATAAAGCTTTAGAGGTCTCCTTTCCTTTTACCAGTTACTTAATGATAAATAGCAATGCACGTAAGAGAAAGCCTTTCCCTATGAGCACATTTGTTCCAAGTTTTGCTGTCAGCTTTTACTTATACACAGCTGATAGATGTGATGGATAGTGTTCTCCTCCATATCAGTACCTCCCTTCTACAGTTCTTTCACCACAAGAGACCTGCTCACTTGCACAACTCTCCCCTCATTGCTCCACACCAACATGAAATGCAGGGCAGCCCAGCAGAGCAGGCAGAGCCAGCCAAGCAGAGTTACACACATGTTACTTATTTTAGCCCCAGAACTCCTTATTGTGACTATGCACAGTGCTAACCTACTTATAAGATCCAATACACTTTGTTTTGTTAAGAGTAAAATCAGTATCTTACATAGTTCCATGGCAATTAAAGAAAGAAATTTAAAGATGTTGAAAAAACAGAGAGCGGGCAGCAGATTTTATCTTAATCACTAAACGTACAAGTAAGTGATTATTAGATCTCAAATGCAATGTAGCTTCCTGCTATATCATCGGAGTAAAGCTCTTCTGTCTTGGTCCAAACTATTCTTTCTATTTGTCTCTGCAATGATGATATAATCCTGGTAGAGCTTTACAGAGTAGTGCAGGGGATTTATTTGTAATTCTTTGACTCATTTCAGTAGATGATGCGTGGCTTTGAAATCCCTATGGCTAGTATCAGTCTGTTGCCATGCAGATTACTGGGATGCCATGAATTCAACACTATGAGATTCCTGTGCTGAAGCTATGACTTAACAGGGAAATTTGGCTTATTGGGCAGCATGGCATACACATTTGCTATCCAAAGAAAAAATACGTGATCATTACTGTGTTGTGTTGGAGGGGATATGGTATTTCTTCAATCTGGCATATGTCTGCATACCAAAAACCTGTCAGAAGCTGGAGTTTTGGCTGTGACATGCCCCCTGAGCCAAGGTATCAGTCAGTCATTAGCTGAGCAGCATGCGAGACCCCGCACAGTTTGTGACATACCACAAAAACGCCACAGCCTGTGACCTCACTTGCCCGAGTCACTTCCAGTCACTTGTGTTCTCTTGCCCATACTGTCCGGAAAGATATATTAATAAGGTATTTGATTTAAACTGATTACTCTGAAATTGGAAGTGTCCCTAGGTATGTTAAAAGAAAATAATGAAAAAAGACATGTAAACATGAACTTAAAGTTCACTTTAAAGTTCACCCCTTTCAGAAGTGTAACATAATACATGTTTTGACGTGTTTTCAGAAAGCATTTCAGGAAATTGCATTATGAAATGCCATGATTTAATTTTACTAGCTAATGCAAAGCAATGTATCACCTACACTAAAAAAACCCTTCTCTCATCCTGTCTTCAGTGTGCACGAGGATACCCTGTCCTAGCTTAGCACGTAATTTAAGTCATCTTCATTTAATTGTGTCTGCTGCTTTCCTAAGCACACAAACCTCTTGCTTCGATCTCTCGAATGCATGAATCCACAACCATTGGCCTCTGGGTATTGTGGGCTTTCACTAGTGTGGTGAGATCGCAGCAGTAGACTCGCTTTATCCTCTTGAGGTCTGGTTGGCAGTCGTTGGGCACGTATTTGGAGCACTGCTTATGTACGTTCAACCCGCAGTCTGTAAACAAAGTTAGACAGGTTAATTAATTAATACTAACACCGATAGGTCTTATCTAACAATTTATTTCCTTGGGCCACATCAAGCAAAGGGCATAACTTTTACCCATCAGTCAGCAAAGCTAGAATAAATATGGAGATGAGAAAGATGAGTCTGGAAATCTGTAAAAAACTTATGGTGGGCCAGGTGAACTCCAGCAGAGTTGTTAAAAAGCTATAAAAGCTCTGGATGTCCCTCACACCCCCTCTGAGCCGGAGGTGACTGCTGGTGCGCTCTGGGTCAATTCACCACCAGACACGTAGCTCTAGCTGTTGCATTTGAACACGTGGGACAATTTCTGGGTATTTTAGGCTTTTCTAAAATTAGCACAGAAATGACTGCCTTTTGGCCAGCTTGTGGCTTAGCACTGCTAATGGGCAAAGGACCTAAGATGCACCTGAGCACTCAAATTGGGACGGTGCTTTAAGCTGGCATGCCTCCCTTCCCCTTCCACATTCCTGCAGTGTCACATTTTGGCACACTCTGCCACATCAGCAGCCTCCCATCCTTGTCTCATCACTTTGCTGGTGACTAAAGTGTCCCCTGTGTTTAGTCTGTAGGTCAGTTTAGGCATATAAAATGCTGTGAAAGCATGATGTAAAAAAGTGATTCATTTTACAAATGGCTCTTGGTGTGTTACCCCAGAGTCAGATTCTACTCCTGGTTGCATGGGCGGGTTTCTATTAACTTAAACATCACTGCTTGTTCTCCACAAATTGAATTTTTCTAATAGACTCAAATATTCAGCCAAATGAGTTTATAAGCCTCAGTAAAGCAAACACCACCGTCATGAGTTACATTATTAAAAATGTAAACATGATTCTCTTACTTGCAGCACATTTCAGTATTATTCTCTATAAAATATTAATCAAGCAAAATCATAGAATCACGACAAACACACCTACACATTTAATGGAATTGGGTGGGTTTTTGTGTGTTTCTCCATACAGTTATTACTGCATAATACATGATTGTTCTGTGAAAGCTAAACAAATGTGAGCAGCTGCAGTTAGGATCCTCCTTGTATTGTTTTCAGTGCTGTTCTCCAAGCGTGTGAAGTTAAATCCAAATGTGTCTCTCTACTTAGAGTTAAATGTTGGTAATTTAATGAGGGAGAGTATTATGTTTCATACTAAATAAATGAGCCTTTTCATAAGTTTAGTATTTCACATATGTGAACAAATACAGCGCTATGCATTACTGAGGTCAGGTTTTGCACACTTGCGTTTAAGATCAAATAGCCTGGAAAGCAAACTACTATTAATTTTCCTCTTTTTTAATGTCCTTCTCATATTCTTTGTGTTACCATTATTCATCTACAGGCAGACAAGATGTAGCAGTAGCTGAGACTGCACTTACTAAAACTGCATTTGCAAAAGGTATTTTGATCCTTCGAACTGCGGTCTAAATTTTAGGTAACAACCACCTCCTCTACCCATGGAAGGCAGATGTCAGGGTCAGATGTGTTCAGTGCCTGTCTGAGATCAGGAATCCTGGAGGTCAGGGCAGGGAGAGGTAAGACAGAAGCATATTCAGGTGAGACATATAAAGGATTGAAGGTTCATAGAAAGAAGTTATGAAATGCCGTTTGCAATGCATCACATACTGTTTCACTTGCTGAATCCAAAAGCTCATGATGTGATGATTATTGCATTTTTCCAATATTATTATTTTTCATAAAAGAACAAATTTGAAATAATTAAAGCACTATTAAAATGCTAATACAGTTCTAGAGACACCAGAAACCTAATCCTTCTAGGAAAATGAAGGTCGTATTTTTTGCTTTCCCTCAAGGTGGGATACTTCAGGCTTGCAGCAACACATGGTATTTTTATAGGAAACAGGTGACAGTCTTTTTGCAGACAAGGGCACTTCTCAGCAATTGGGATGGCAAAAAGATGAGGTATGAAGCCTAGTTACTGGCTGGCTCTGCCATTTTCAGGGCTTGCTTCGTAAGACATAAAAACATTCAGGGGTAACTTAACCATAAACATCAATTCTTAATGTATACACCAAGGCACACACATGACCAAGGTACTACCGAAAGGATGTCACCCTCAGCGACCAAGCGCTGGTGACTTCATTTCTAAACCAGTTAATGGGGAAAATGACAACGCTCTAACTTGCGGGGAAGGATTTTTTGCCTTGTTCTGTAAAGTAATCCCTACCTCCCCTCCTGCAGGGAGTGCAGGCTCGTGGTGGGACAGATGTCTGAGCATTGCAAGAAAATGACAGAAAATGTTGAAGGGCTACCTGAACACCTCACTCCCTGAGCGATGAGACCCCACATGAAGTTGGCGCAGTATTCACACCAGTGCGGACCTCGAAACGTATGGACCTGTAATACAAATGGGGGAAAAAAAAGAGAAATGGGGTCATTGGGAGGCAGATGGTCTGACAGATGGAACAACTGAAATGGATAAACAACAGAAGACTCAGTAGGAGTAAATCTTTAGCACACAGTGCCCACATATTTCCAAAGTCTAGAAGAAATAAACCATGGGAACAGAAATTTGCTTTGATCTTGAAGTTTATCTTTCAATAGGATTAACATTACAGAGAACTGGGCTGTGTGTGACACTGAAAACAAGTAACTTCTGCTAGCTGACATTTTAGCTATAGCAGAGGGGAGAAAACCAGGTTCACTATTCAAAGGAGAAAAAAGTAAAACTAATAATCCAAGGAACTGTAGTCAGTGCTTTTATTGGACTAGTTCAAACAAAACAGGAATGTTTCTGAGATTCAAATGCCCTTCAGCAGATCCCTTAAAAGTAAGGGAAATGCAGGGGCAGAAAAGTCCCTTCGAATGCACCACGTTTTGGTTCCCCATAACCATGTGTGACCAAAGACCTGGTGCAAGACCCGTGTTCTAAGAGCACCACTCAGGTCTGAACGCACTTTAACTATGGTGTTACATGTGCATTTCTATGCAACAATACTGAACAAAACTCGAGGTGATTGCTGTAAATTTGTATCAGGGATGAACGCTTTGTGCAGCCACTCCAGGCAGCGGCTGGGTAACGATCTGATTTTGCACACTGGAATTCATTAGTGATAAAAGCAAATGACACCCTTCCCCATTTTAGTAAGCAAATAGAACTCACATAGGGAAAAGATGTCAGTAGGCTCTTTTTCAGTAGACCAAAATTTTGTTACAGTCCACACATGCGTAAATAAGAAGGCATAAAATGGCCTACGTGCTGACGGAGCCCACGGATCCCCAGCCAAGTTTTGCACAACACCGCTGCTTCCTCCACTGCTTTTCCAAAGGCTACGGCAGAAGACCTTTTTATTTAAGATGTATGTTCTGGTAAAGTAAGCATTTCATTTTCATTGAAAAGAAGAATAAATAGTGAGTTCTATGCCTGTGTGAATGGACATGGTATGAGCTAGTTCTGGCCAGAGACTTAATTGAGCTTAACAAAACATAAATCATGCACACTCCGGCTGCTAATGCTTCCTTTTCCTTCTTTCTGGTCTTGTTTACCCGTCGGGTGGATGGCTGAAAGGCCACTTCCACCCTCTGGGATGGGGAAAGCTGCTCTTTACTTTTCATAGAGTAAAAAAATGGTCATTGCCCTTTTCGGATAAACTTGGTGAAGTTTTAAGCCAAGCATTTGGCTTGCTAATGTTTTCGCCTCATTTGTCTGCAGGATCACACCTAAACAAGCCTGTACTCTTGAGTCCATTTCCCAGGAAGATGAAGTATTGTAATTTTAATACAGACTTCTCTTTCTGATTTAGTGATAAAAATGTGAGTCTGACCATAAATGACTCCTGACCAACTACTCACAGTCAATAATTGTGTGAATAAGCTTAAAGCAATAGTAATTCTTCCTCCCTTTTGATAGTAAAAGGTCAAAACTGGAATGTCTGACTGGTCGTATTTATTTTTTGAAATGGTATTTTACCTCTCAGAAAAATGTGTATCTCTGGGAAACACCACTGTGCAATAAAGTTTGAGATAGATAGATTGATAGATATGGACACATCTTTCTCATGTCTTCTTATTTTGCAGGGTGGGTAGCATGAATGTCAGACATGGCTTTTAGTGGGGGTAAATGCCCATACCTAGCATCAGCTGCTGGCCTGAGTTTCAGGCATATGCTCTAGGTGACCTTCAGTAGATACAAAATTACAGATACAAAACTACGGATACAACTAATTATGCTTGCATCTTTACCATCTTTAGACTGATAATGACATAATTAGTGGGTCTGCACCTGTGTTTAATTGTGGGTGAAAATCATCTGCTGTGGGAAGATACCTAACTATGTCTTCTGCTTTGCAGCGGTTTACAAAAGCTAACCTCATGAGAAGTGGCTGTAAAAGCTCATTCAGGATTTTTAAAACCGCATCATTTCACATTTAAAGTCCATCACAGTTACTAGGATATTTGGGGCCTACTTGCTCACTTTACATAAAGCTTATTTCAGCTGATCTGGTTGTGGCATATTTAGAAAATGGTAGCTGATTATTCCTTGATCTCTCCTGTCATTAACGGGGAAGAGTCATCAACGCTGACTGAGGGCTCCATCTGAGAAGTGCTGACTGCGCACCCTTCCCTTGTTCCCTTCAGCCTGGTGGCCCTCAAAGGTTGAGCTCTCTTTATTTGTTCACTTCAATTTTTCACGATCTGCATTTTAGCTCAAGTGGCAAGCTCCCAACTGAGAAGCCCTGAGAAAAGCGAGTCTTGGTGGTTTCTGGTCAGGCTGAAACAGGGAAATACTTGCTATCTCTAACTGAAAAAGAGAGTTCTTCAAAAGTTTCTAGATGAAGGTCGAAAAAAAAAATCTCTTAAGATGCAGTCTTGAACTGAGTGTCCTATGGCTTGCCATTAATTTTAAAAAAATAATGAAGGAAATCTGTTCTTACAAACACAACACTAGAATGCAGCCCGAAGTTTGCACCCAACGCTCTTGAACAGTAAATGGGAATTTTGCCTGCAAGATTGGCCTCTGTTTCAAACGACGAGAGGTAACAGCAGGTCTTTTAGGTTTTGCCCCATCCTTTGTAACCACATCATTACAAATGGCCTGGGCTTAGACTTTCAGAAACATGATCAAGATCTATTTATTATTGGTCCCTACGCCATTCTGCAGTCTCAGGAGACCTGTGTACACACAGCATAGGCTCAGGCTGCTTGGGCTACAGTCGACACATAATTCTAACTTTTAAGAAGAATTTACAGGGAAGCATTTCTTCATATAAGCCAAACCCATGATGTTTCAGACTATACGCTGTGCTTTTCTTGTTCAGTCTTTCATCTTCTTTACACAATGTCTAACGCCTGACTTCTTCGCTCTGTTTCCTTTCCAGCTCTATCAATGAAAAGTTGTTTCTTACATTCATCCTCTTTTCTCTGCTGGACAGTCTCACCCAATACTAGACTGCGTGTCTCTTCTTGCTGCCTTCCTGTGCTCTCACCGTCGCCCTTCAGCCCTTCGGTGCCCTTGCTTCTGAACGGCAGAATTCCCCCCGTGGGTGCTATCTCATGCAGTTTTAGTCTGTGTCTGAGCCGTGTTCACGGAGGGAGAAACTAAGACCAAAGTTAAGGAATGCCAATACAGTGGTAAAACAAAAGAATCCCTTAAGCAATATTGCAGAAACAAACTAAAAATTGCCTTGAATTGAAACACATGTTTTTTATTGGCATTATATGGTGCTGTTTCTGAGACAATTTTCTTGTTTATCTGACTGGGTTTGAAGACTTTTCTGTTTGCATCCAAAGAAAATAAGAGACTTTTCAGACTTTCGCCTGAATACATGCACATTTGTACTCTCCTGTGGACT